ATTATATTTTTTAAAGAGATAAAAAATTTTATAGTTTATTTTTTTAAATAATTATGAAGAATGCAAAAATTATTAATTGCGTAAAAATAGATTGAAAAAAGCTATTTTTGAACAAGTTTCCTTACGTAAAACTTATAATACGATTTCAAATGAAATCGTTCAATCGAGTAGGATTAATTGGAAAAATATTCCTTTTAGCACCAGGCAATCCGATATTCTTCAATATGTCAACCGTCTTCTTGCCGGATGGCCAACGGACTTTCGGCAATCCATTGAGTTATCTCGGTGGTCCGATATTACCGCCGAGGAATAGATCTATCGAATCAGTGCTATCTCTGGATTGATCACGGATAATCGCGTACTTTGCTTTAAGGAATCATTGTGAGCGTGGACAGGAACAACGAATCGCATTCCCTGATCATGAACGGAAAGCCTCAAACGTGTTGAGTGTCAAATCGATAAATATCATTTATGATAAATTCATAAAAACATATCATCATATAAATTAATTTATCCAAATAACATAATAGTTTAAAACACGTTAAAAAGACGTTTGCAATGTTAAAACGTACGTTTTTTCTCTTTTGAAAAAAACTAAACTAATTGTTTAGTCTAATAATTGCTATGAAAAGAAATACACGAAATGTATATTTCTTTTTCAGATATATAAATTTAATTTATGTTAAAAAATGTTTTAAAAAAGGTTTGATATGCGTTTAACATATTTGACATTTTCCAGTTTTAATTCACCTCTCATTATCACAGAGTCATCCGCTTTTCGAAAGGCTCGTGTTAATAGCTCACAACGAGCTATAAGCTAAATAGTTTCATCAAGAAAAATTCACTCGGACCAACAAATTCGCGATCGACGAATTTTACACGTGACAAGACATTATAGTTGTTGATAAGGATTTGAAAAGTGATAACGAGCTTAATGTGGTAACTATTAGTAATAAACTCGATACATTTTCTCGCAGCTAGTAAGAAACTGTTGTGCTCAAATATATTTCGTTTCAATATATAAAAAATGCTTATAAAAAAAAAAAATCCTTGTAAAAATTCTCCCCCCTTGTAAAAAGTTTTCTTTCCTTATTGCATACCGAACTGATGAAATACTTTCTTTAATCTTAAAGTATATCAACAATGTAAAACAATTTATTCTTTTTTGCCCTCCAAGAATTTCTCTCTATTAAAGTTGAATAGAAAAGTAATAAATAAGTTTCAATAACTGATTCATGACTCATATTCCTCATCCTAGTCAAGATTTAATTATTTTTTTGCATGGCATCGCGATGAATAAATATTCGTAATTTATCTTATATGACTGCCTTGTATGTATAATGATATAAAAATAGAATACAAATGCATCATTACGATAAGAGAGAGACCATTTATGCGCAGAATATGTTTAATAATCGGTCGCACGAATAAAACAGATTTCCAAAGAAAACTTCAACGCTGAAGATCTTTTTTTTTTTTTTTTAATTAACATACCTTTCTCTTGCATGGGGAGGGGGGCATGATGGTCACTTTCTTCCGCTATTTTTTCAGATCTAATTTTTAGGCGTCGATTTGAACAAAGCAAACTTGTAAAACTGTAAACAAAGCAAAAAAGATTATATTTAAAAAAAAAATATATATATATATATATATTATATTTAAAAAGCAATAATATATAAAAATCCAAGCAAATAAGATAATTATATTTCTGAATATAATAAAAAAATATTGTATCAGGTAGTAGCGGTTTTCACTGCTCATGAAATGTTACCTTTAAGCCCGAATCACACTAGCGGCTCGCGGCTGCGATTGCGATTGCCTCAGCCAATCAGAAAGCACAAATTGCAAGTATGATTGGAGCGTAACAAATCACAATCACAAACGCAATCGCAATCGCAGCCGCGAGCCGCTAGTGTGATTCGGGTTTTACGCGTGTGTCCTTTGGACCTTATTTTTGAATTCTATTCTCCTCTTCTAAAGAGGAATTCTTTCTGTAGCATCTTATCAGTAACTCTCATCTAAATAAAATTTCTGATATTAACCCACAACTTGATCTCTACAACATTAGCGCTATTTATATTCATCGACTTGGCCGTGTGGGCCTGTGTATCTTAAGCCCGTATCAGACTACATATTGAAAATGGAAGATTGAAGATTAAAGATTGGAATTTGACTAAGTGCCGGTCTACAATAGGTGATTTAAGCCCTAAGCTTTAAGAAATTGACCAATCACAATCAAGTATGAGGAGAATACTCGACTGTGATTAGTCAATTTCTTAAGGCTTAGGGCTTAAACCACCTATTGTAGATCGGCACTAATAAGAACAAAAAGGACTAAAATTTCTTTGCGAAGAAGAAGAAGAAGAAGAAGGTTGAGAATCACGGATACGTCATAAACAAGCAACATGGCCGACTATCGCGAATATTGACATTGGTACGACGCATGCTATTATTTACAAACTAAACGAAAGAGGCTGGTTACAGGTCGATGATGCTGTAACATTGCTCGTACCTTGTCAGTCGCGCGATGGCACAAGCGAAGCTCAACGTGCCGGAGAAATCCGGTGGCACTATTAAGGAGAAGGATAAAGATACTGAAGAAAAAGAAGGCAAGTTTTTATCCCATCAATTATCATAATCATTCGTGAATCATAGCGTCGAATATGATACAGGATATATTATAATCGCATTAGAATTTTCTTTGTATTCAAGATATAATGTAATGAAAATAATTATAATCAAAGGATAATGATTTTCTTTATCAATCTTTATCTAATTATTTTTACCAATATTTTTGGATAAATCATAAATATTTACAGTTTTTATATGCTATTCTAATAGGTCTCACCGTTGTACCAGAATGCGCTGTATGTTTGCAGCCTTGCATTCATCCGGCGAGATTACCCTGCAGTCACATATACTGCTATCTGTGTGTAAAGGGTGTTGCTAATCAGAGCAAACGGTGTCCAATGTGTCGTCAAGAGATTCCACCAGATTTCCTTGAAAGACCTCAGCTGGTAGAAGTTGAAGAGTCTCAGAAGGAATCGGAACATCCTGAAGAAGAATACCAATGGTTTTACGAAGGTCGAAATGGTAAAGTATTATTTTGATTATCAATTACATTTTAATAAACATTTAAAATCTGCATTTGTCATCTTTTTTAATAGGAAACGTTTTTATGAAAATATCTTATTTAATATTAAATATATTTGTATAAAAAAACTCCAGCTAGCTTGCGATAGCTTACAATGCCTTTGAAACATTTATATGTAGGCACACATAAGTTGATATCATCGTACCCCTTCTTAGGTTGGTGGAAATATGATCCAAGGACAAGCAATGACCTGGAGACTATTTACAAACTAGGGGAAACGCGATGCGAACTTTTGATCTGTGGCATGCTTTACATTATTGACTTTGAAAACAAGTGTCAATATAGAAAGAATAACCCACGTTACAAACGTAATATCAAACGTGACAGAAAAGATGCTCCCTGCAAGGGTGTCTCGGGTGTACGATAACAAGTTGTAACATATAAAATGCATAATTTATCTATTAAAACAAAGATCCCCATTTTCAAATCCATATTTAATAATATATTAAGTTATATTCATATGGTTTTTGTTATGACACTGTACAAAAAGTATATAATCACAGTAAAACATCTCATAAAAATAAGAATAATATTAAGAATAAAATAGAATAGTTGTGCATGCAGAAAAATATATATAATACTATAAAATTAAAAAAGAACATTATGTGAAAGGACTAATAGATTTAACAGTTAATATTAAAAAGAGAGGCAGAGAGATGACTATTATAATATAATGTATTATATAAGAAAATAAGAAACACACTTCTTAACATAAAAGAAAACTATAATCTTATAATAAATCTATGTTCTATAATTAAAAATATTTTTCTTTTATATTTTCCCAAATGCAACTTTTAATAACGTATTTCTCAAATTTAAATGTTACAAATGAATGATCATTAATCTATTATTTCTATTATAATGTATGGAACATATGGCTTGTAAACTAATGTTTGCAGGTTGGTGGCAATATGATCAACGTACAAGTATCGAATTAGAAACGGCATATAAGCAGGGCAAAAGGACCTGTGAGTTGCTGATTGCAGGATTCCTTTACATCGCCGATTTTGGCTCAATGCTGCAATTGCGTAGAAACGATCCTTCCAGACGAAGGAGGATTAAAAGAGATCTGTATAATGTGCCAAGAAAAGGGGTTGCCGGATTACGTCTTAACGTACAGGACGAGGAGATTGTGAGGGAAATAAGAGGCGCAGAGCGACCAGCTAGTCCCGCAAGTGATAGTATGGGTATGAAGCAATAAACTGAATGTGATAAAATATGAATATATATATACACACACACACACACAAACACCAGAATCCTGACTAAATATTTTTATCTAATATGAAATATATTTTATTTACAGGTACAGGAGACGGCACTAATACTCCTATACCGCCTAGTAATACACCGCAAACACCTGCAGGTGGTACAGCAAGTGGCGACGCGACACCTCTAAACGATAGAGTAGATCAAAGATCGGATTCTCTGCATCAAGTTCTAGAACAGATGCGTTCTCTGGTTCTGAGGGAACATCTATCCTTAAACAGTGATAACGAATTCGAAGAAGATACAGAGGATGCAACGATTTCGGATCATCCCACTCTATCATAGCTACAAATATTGAATGCGTCAGAAATTGTGGTAATCATACTTAAGAATCTCCAGTTTGTTTCCAGGCTCTTCATATTATTGCTCAACTCAATAAGATAGTATACTACACATTAGTACACATTATGTTTGTCAAAAATGTGTCAATGTACAAAACATATTGATATAGCAAACTGCATTGCTCAACTACTGGCGTATGAAAATTAATATACGATTAAGTTTTTCGATCTTAAATAATTATTTTTATTTGGAAAATATTCATTTCTTGCTTTTAAAATCTCTTTATGTATATTTTCTGTCAATTTATATATGTGTCAAAAAGATATTAATTAAATTGAGCATAATAATAGTTTATAAAGATAGATCTATATAATTTACAATGTAATTGTTAATAAACAAATGTACTTAAAAGTTAACTTTGAAAGTCACTGTATTGTATAGCAAAATATACAGTGTAAACGATTAGTATTATAAAGTAAAGAGAGAGAGAGAGATATATATATAATTTTTAAATGTAATAAAATTTCTAATAAAAATGTGTTCATGCCTTATAAGAAAAGGCCCGTGAAAAAAAAGAATGTAACAAAAAAAACGGTTATTTATTCTTATGAAAATCAAGTGCAATATTCAATAATCAATGTAATTGCTAGTTTTGAATAAATCTTGTAATCTTCGATGTTTAAAACTCAAATTATCTTCTTGTATTATATATAGAAATAAAAGATACATTTTCTTCAGCAAATTATGCAAATTATGTTCTTTAAATAAAATAAATTCGAATAGAAAGACCTCACAAGAATATATCCATCCTAATACACATAATATGTAAGAATTAAATGTAATATATATAAAACTTGATCAATATAGAAAGAGATTTAAAAATAAGATGAGTGGAATGAAATAAATAAAAATATTGCAATATATTATTTAATATATAAAATCTAAAAATATACAATAAAAAATAAAATTTGAAATTTATTTGTGTTCTTATTTATTTATCAAATAAATATTGAGATAAAAAAATGCATAAAAAGTCAATCTCTAAAGTAGGATGCAAAGGATAGATATATCTTGTTTCTGATTTTTATAATTATATTTTAATTATATATTTTAATTATATTTTATTTTTTTTTTGCTAGTCTTTGGTAAATATTTATTGTTTAACCAATGACATGATCACCACGATTGTCTTAAATACTTTTCACATAAAAATTACTTTTTCTGGTACTTCCAATATAGTATTCTAAAATATCTTTTAAAATTATACAAAAATTTTTATATAATTTTTATATAAAGTTAACTTTAATGAAATTTGATATTTTTAAATGAAAATATCAAAAAAAGAAATACATATGTATATTACAACATTCCAGTTGTAATTGTATATACTTGATGATATTTAATTGATGCTCGCGAAAAAATTGTTGCTCTCGTTCCGTTTTTATATACGCATATTTTAATGTAATAACTTTATGGAAGTAAATATATAAAATACATTTACTATGACAAAATAGCATTTGTTTATGAAATAAACAAAATGTTTATAAAATTGTATAAAAGTATAAAATTATATAGAATTGTATAAAATTAAAATATTTTTAATATGTAATAATTATAATATTTTTAAATATTGTTAATACTATTAAAATACTGCTAATAAGAGTGCATTTTGACACTTTGGAAGTTTCAAAGAGAGCTTGATTGACCAATCAGAAAAAAGAAATCTTTGTCCTCTGATAGGACAATCAAACGATTCGAAACTTTCAAATAAAATACACCTTTACTAAATAATATATTAGAAATTTTTAAATTATGCTGTTGATTATCCTGCAAATTAATCAAGAATTGCATTGGTAAAAAAAATAGATATGAGCAAGTTTTTCATAGATAGTTGCGCATCTAACGTAGAGATTAAACAAAGGAAAATAATTATACGTATTTTATCCTATATCCAGGATCTTAACAAACACATACAGATGAAGTATTTAAATAAAATTACAAAACTACTGTTTAGGATATAAAAAATATCACGTAAAAAAGTATATTAATCTTTCAAAAACTTTCTTACGCGGCAGCATTTTGATCCATGAATTCATATCCTTTCCACATCTTGCATATTTAGGATAAAGATACGCCTAGCAATTAACAATCGTTCAAACCACTTGAATTTAGCGCGCTTTCAATGATAATAAGAAACTGTCGAAAGGTTTTTTCCCGCTAGACAAAGGATTCGCGAAAGAGGAATATATCGTGCTTTAGATAATCGCATACGCATATCGCATAACATCTAACCGCCGTTTTTGCATACCGTTTCATTGAACGCTTACGTACGGCAACGTCGATTTGTACACAAATATTTTCGAGGTCGGCAGCAAGAACAAAATTGTTTGTCTCGACGATTGACGCAAAGAGAATTCAATGAACGTGAGTTTGTCGAAAAACGTAACAATTAGAACATAAATTCAAAACAATTTAAAATTGCTACCTCGATTTTAGGCAAAAAAGATGTTCGGTTGCCGTCCTACCCTCCGATTACATAAATTGCGCATGCATAATTAATGCCGCGATGTGTAACCTAATTTCGTTCAAGTAACGATTGGAACAAAAGATTCTGATCCTCGTAAGTTAACATATCTGTTATATTTTGCAGATTGATAAGGAACGAATCGAACGAAGTAAGCTATTATATGCAAAAACGAGAAACGATTTAATCTAAAAGCGTAAATAAGTGGGATCAAAATGACACAGCATACGCAGTCGTCCCTTGAAAGTGTGATTTTTATCACTCATGTCGAGACTGATGATATGTATCTGAAAATCTGGGGTCAACTGGATAAGCAGGCTGCTACTTCTGTAGAGCATTACATATATCCTTTGATAGAACGGTTTAATCAGGGATATGGTTGTCCTACCAAGTCCAACAGAATAACCATTGGTACATTATGCTGCGCCAGATTTCAGTCCGATGGCTATTATCGGGCAAAAGTACTCGGTATGCGTCCCGATGGCATGATAGTTGTACAATTTATTGATTATGGCAATGTGGAAGTCTTATCGCCAAACGAGATCCATTTGTGGGATAATATACGTGAAATGGAACCTCTGCATACGTATCCACCAATGGCATTAGAATTCACATTGATGAATGTATTACCTATAAATGGTATTTGGGAAAGCGAATTAATTGAAGACATTAGGAAAACCCTGTGTTACAATGAATATAGGGCCCTTTTTTATATGATAAATAATAGCCATTTCATAAAATTGTGGTACAATAATGAGGACTTTAGCGAACTGTTGGTGAAGCAACACATGGCTGTACCAGCTACAATACCGGCTATTATACCTGATATGTTCAGGTATAATATTTTTCATATTTTTATTTTTTATAATATTTTTTATAATATTTTTTATATTTAATTTTATATTTATATTTTTTCCTGTTTTTATAGACATCTTTTCTTATATATTATAATTGCCTAATTAATTATTTATTTTTTAGGCCAAAGCATGTACTACAACCGCAAATGCTAGCATATCAGCAACAAAATAAGAACAATATAAATAACTGTCCAACAATGTCAATAATACAGAATCCAAATATGAATCATAATTCCAATGTACAAGGGTTCCACAAGAATCCTTTTCCT